CTCATTACTTCAACTTAAATGGAGTAAGTTGACTGTACTCACAAATATTAGTTTAACTCAAATAGTTTGTAGCAATCGGTCTCCTCAACTGGTTTGAGTTGCCTTAACTTATTGGTTTTACAGTACTCAGTTGGTTTGAGTTATTGGGTTTCACTGTGCTTTAATTGCTTCATTTACTCAAATGGATTAAGTTCACAATACTCATTAGGATTAGTTTTCGGACTCAATCGGTTGCAATCGGTTTTCCTCAAATAGTTTGAGTTGCCTTAACTTTTTGAGTTTTACAGTGTATATGTATTACCTAATTAATTTAACATTTTTAAAACTTTGTTTCACTTAGTAAAAATGTTTTTAAAAATAGTCAAATTAAAAGAAAAGTCACAAAGCATGTGTATTATAAAGTTATTTAATTAACTTAAATTAATGTATTTAATATTTTTCCTTTTAATAGGTAAAACATGCTTATTAAAAATCGATATATTTATTATAATAAATCAAAAAGGTAATGTTATAATTCAAATATTTATTTAAAAAATTGTTACATACAAGTATATGTATTGTCATTAATTTTTTACAATTTTGTTTTACTTATTAATAATATAAAAAATAGCAAAAATAAAAGCATCTGCATTATAAAATATTTTAATTTATTTGATTTAATAATTTTTATTTTAATAGAAAAAAGTTCTTATAAACGTAATAGATATATTTATTGTGATAAATTAACAATTTTATCATATAATTCAAAGATTCATTAAACATTTTGTAAAATATATCTAACACACAATTCATTGGGAGGCGGCATGGTGGCTCAGTGGTTAGCACTGTCGCCTCACAGCAAGAAAGCAGCTGGTTCGAGTCCCAGCTGGCCCAGTTGGCATTTCTGTGGGGGTTTGCATGTTTTCCCCGTGTTGGTTTGGGTTTCCTCCGGGTGCTCCGGTTTCCCCTAAAGTCCAAACACATGCGCCATAGGGGAATTGATGAACTAAATTGGCCGTAGTGTATGAGTGTGTGTGCATAAGTATGGATGTTTTCTAGTACTGAGTTGCATCTGGATGGGCATCCACTGCATAAAAAAATATGCTGGAATAGTTGGGGGTTCATTTCGCTGTGAATGATTCAATTGAATACTTTTCATTTTAATAAAAAAGGTGTTCATTATAAGCTAGATATCTGTATTACTTATAAATCCAACATTAACATGTGAACAGTGTGTCATAAATCAGTTTTATAAATAAAGTAACCGTATGTCTGTTTGTCTGTACACACCGCATGTTTGTTGTGGAGTTCATGAGCACATCAGTCTGTACTTGTGGTCAGCCAGTGTGTCTGTGTATATGTGTTTGTTTATGGTGTGTGTGTGTGTGTGTGTGTGTGTACCTGAGCTCTGAGCAGCAGATGGTCTATTGAGAGAGGAATAATGAGGCTGTGGATCAGTGATCTCTCAATGGGCTGAAGTGTGGGAATGAGCAGATCAGCAGAGCTCTCACGCATTCCTCAGTCCTGCAGCTGGACACACACACACACACACACACACACATCAGGATTCCCTCCAAAACACATCTGACTCATCACTGACTCTCATCAGCCGAGTCTAATACAGATATAATGCTTTTATTAGCAGTCATTATCATCATTAGTGTATATATTTATACATGCTGAACCAGTGTTGGGTCAAATATGCACAAACCCCAATCTTTAGGTTAAAAAGTCTAATTTCAAATTTAATTTGTAAAATGAAAATATTCTGGGTTGTAGTTACCCAACTTTGGGTTAGTGTATAGTTTTACTGTTTTATACAATGATTTTCCAGAAGCAGTCATTCCCTCCAAAACACATCACTGACACTCATCGGCAGAGTCTACAGCAGATATCAAGCTTTTATTTACTCTTTTAGTCATGCTCAGTGACTAATCTTTCACATTTTTTGCAGTCATTATCATCATTAGTGTAAAAATTTTTTAGTGTAAAAACATTTTTTTTTATTTGTGTTGTTGTAATTGAGCGTTGGGTCAAACATGGACAAACCCAATGTTTTTAACTTTAATATTTAATATACTTTTAAAAAGTGTCATTTCAATTGAATTGAAAACAATTACCCAAAGTTGGGTTACTACAAAAGCAAGAAAGTTGCTGGTTCGAGCCTCGGCTGGGTCAGTTGGTGTTTCTGTGTGGAGTTTGCATGTTCTCCCTGCGTTTGCATGGCTTTCCTCCATGTGCTCCGGTTTCACCCACAGTCCAAAGACATGCAGTACAGGTTAATTGGGTAGACTAAATTGTCTGTTGTGTATGGATGTTTCCCTGAGATGGGTTGCAGCTGGAAGGGCATCCGTTGCGTAAAACATATGCTGGATAAGTTGGCGGTTCATTCCGCTGTGGCGACCCCAGATTAATAAAGGGACTAAGCCGACAAGAAAATGAATGAATTTATTGTTTATGGGGCGGCACGGTGGCTCAGTGGTTTGCACTGTCACCTCCCAGCAAGAAGGTCGCTGGTTCAAGTCCTGACTGGGTCAGTAAAAATATTAAATAGTATAAATATTGTAAAAATTAAAAGAAAAGTAAAAGCATTTGTATTTCAAAACCATTTAATTAAAAATGTTCATTTTAATAGAAAAAATTGCTTATTATACATTAGATGAATTTATTATAACAATTTAAAATATTGAATTGAAGGTTTATTAAAGATTGTTTTGTAAAGATACACTGTAAAACCCAACGGTCAACTTAATTAAATAAAATGATTGTAATTAACTTGTCGCCCGATTTGTAATACATTTTACAAGAAAATACTATTTTACAACTGCATAAAATGTTAACGTTTCTCATTTAATATTGTATTATGCTGTTTATAGAACATTTAATTTACTTTATTAATTTGTTTTTGAAGTTTGCTATAACTTTTAATTCTTTATTCTGTACTATAACTACACTGCACTACATATTTATATTATACAATAACTTTAAACTGCACACATAAATAAATATGTACATATTTTCTTACAAAAAAGTAATTAAAGACTAAAAATGAATAGTAAAAGTATAGTTTCCCATATGAACTGTTCATTGGTCTTCACACACACACACACACACACACACACACACACACACTCTCTGTCTGGAATGCATTGAGTGTCAGTGTGAATGATCTGTTCTCTCAGGAACGGCACACTTCTGTTGTCACGAGTCTCTCCCGCCCGCAGAGAGTTTGGGTAATAAATGAACAGACAGTGTGGGAAAGCAGGGCAGGATCCCGCTCACACACTCTGCTGTCAATAGAGGAGCCCCTCCCATGGCCCTCCATACACACATCAGAGGCTCCGTTGGGCTGGGGGACGCGTGTGTGTGTGTGTACAAGTGTGTGTGTGTGCGTGCATGTTCTCACATCACCTGCAGCCCTCGACAAAACATCTGCAACAGAAGACATGCACACAAAACAACAAGTGGACAAACCCAACCGTTGAGTTCAGAGTGTCATTTAAGTTTACCCAACAATTTTTAAAAAATGACCCAGTGTTTGGTCTGTCTATGTGACCCAAGTTTGGGTTATGATAGCTCAGGAGTTTTTAGTGTATATGTTTATACTGGAAAACAAATGTAAAAAAATATATAATATAATATCATATCCTATCATATCATATATCATATCATATATCATATCATATAATAAAATAAAATATAAGATAATATGATACAATATAATGTAAAGAATCTAAAATATATGATAGATTAAATATATTTATAATATTTATTATATTTTATTTGAGTAAACATTGGGTAAAGTATGAACAAATCAAGTTTGAAAGTGATTAAATTCCTTTAAAATTTTATTTTAGAAGATGTACCAAATGTTTTGTCTATGTTTGACCCAACTTTGGGTTATGGTAATCCAGGAGTATTTAGTGTGCATTTTTAAATACTGGAAAATAAATAAATGAATAAATAAATACATAAAAATGAATACATAAATACATGAATGAATCAATAAATAAACAAATGTGAAATAAAATTAATTAAATAAATATTTAATGTAATATAATACAAATACAAATATATTTTAAAAAAAGAATAAATAGTTTTGTTAAGTATTTATATAAAACAGTATGTTGAAAACAATTACATATTCTCATAAAAAACAAGCAATAATAATCTCTCTCTCTCTCTGTCTATATATATATATATATATATATATATATATATATATATATATATATATATATATATATATATATATATATATATATATATTAAAAAGTATAATATAAATATATGATATAAAAAATATAATATATAATACAATATAATATTATATTTAATATAATATATAATATGAAATTATATAATATAAAATAATATAATATAAAATAATTTATGAAATAATATAATTTAATGTATAATAAAATATAAAATAATATGATATAATATAAAATAACAATATAATATAGCACATTGTATTATAATATAATGCAATATAATATAATGAATAATATAATAAAAATAAAATATTACACATTTATTATTTTTTGTAGCACTTTAAGATTTTACTTAAAATATAAAGTGATTCATAAATCAAATGCATTACTATTATTAAATACCAATATAATGTACCAATATATATTCAATTGCACCTCATTATCATTTGTTTAATAAAATCAAATGAAAGCCGGCTGTGGTACAGTATCTGTCTCAGTGCGATAAGGTGTTTCACCATCATATCAGTGTCTTTTCCCTCCCCTGGGAAATGATCGTATGTCTACAGTCTCCATCTGTCCTTATCAGTGCACGCTGATGTTCCCAGGTAATAAAACACACCGCAACCTGCCTGTGTTGTGCCGTGTGTGTGTGTGTGTGTGGGAGCCTGAGGCCAGTTAACCATGAAATAATTGATGCCTCTTCCATTGTGTGGGACGCCTCATCCAGCGGCCTCAGAGTGTGGGAAAGCTAATCCTGACTGGGACTCATGGCTTTGTAATGCTAATGAGCTCCTATAAATAGAGCAGCGAGACCCTCATTCCCGACACAAACCCCTCGCTCTGCTCAGAGAAACAGCATCTCTCCTGAAGAAGCAATGGCTCCTGCGTATATGACTGAATACTCCAAGCTTTCCAACAAGGAGAAGCACAAAGTAAGTGTTTTTACTTCTGGAATACATCTGACGCTTCTCATTAGAGGATTATAATAATGTTTAGTGTTTTACTGTTGAATTAAATCATGCTGTTTGTCTTTATTACTTTCTATAATACTTTAATAATAGTGTTTTTACTATTAAAATAAGTCCAGTTGTTTCTTATCATTACTTAATAATAATAATTAATTATAATATTTAATTAATAATAATATTTAGTGTTATTACTTTCTAAATAAACCCCATTTACTCTCATTATTACCTCAAACGTTAGCCAAACGACACAGAAAACTAATCGAACATCTCTTCTTCTTTCTTCCTTCGCCAGTTGCGAAAGCCAGTGGTGGAAAAGATGCGCAGAGATCGCATCAACAACTGCATCGAGCAGCTCAAGTCCATGCTGGAGAAAGAGTTCCAGCAGCAGGATCCCAACGCCAAGCTGGAGAAAGCCGACATCCTGGAGATGACGGTGGTTTTCCTCAAGCAGCAGCTGCGGCCCAAGACTCCACAGAACGCTCAGATCGAGGGCTACTCGCAGTGCTGGAGGGAGACCATCAGCTTTCTGTCTGTGGGCTCCGAGGCTGTGGCTCAACGTCTCCAGCAAGAAGCTCAGAGATCAGCAGCTCCAGAGCTCACACACACGTCTGAAGCTCCCCATCAGCAGCACACACACATCAAGCAGGAGCCGCGGGCGCACGCTCCGCTCTGGAGACCCTGGTAGAGACGCTCGAACACTAGATGGTGGTTTACCGTCTCTTATGTAGGAGATTCTCCATTTACTATAGTACATCACTGATTCACATCGTGTGAAGAAATGAGAGATTCACCATGTGAACGCCTCGTCTTCTGCTGATGTTTAGATGTTATGATCAGAGGTTTATTAGTGTAGTTTTCCTCATGGATGGACATTAATATCAGACTCTGGTAGAGACGCTCGAACACTAGATGGTGCTTTATAGTCTCTTATCATGTAGGAGATTCTCCATTTACTCTAGTCATTTCTTTTGAAAGAGCACGTCACTTATTCTCATCGTGTGAAGAAATGAGAGATTCACCATGTGAACGCCTCGTCTTCTGCTGATGTTATGATATGATCAGAGGTTTATTATTGCAACACCTCTGTAGTTTTCCTCATGGATGGACATTATTTTCTAGACATTTCTTCATGATGAAGAGTCAATGTTGAACTCCTGTGGAGTTGTGGATTATATGTGATCATTTGTGCATTATCAATGCTTTATTGGTGTTTCTTTATATGAAAGATGTGAATTTTGACTTATTTATAATATATGATTGTATAATGTTATTGAAATAAACACATTTTGAACTGAAACACTTTCTGCTGTAGTTGATTTCTCATATTAAACTCCGCTTGCTTCATTAATAAACGTTTGAAATGCAAATTGTGCTTCTGTAATAAACTCACTGGTAAAATAATGTCCCTTTAGTTCATGTATTACTAACATGAACAAATTATGCACAACACATTCATTACAGTCTCTTTGTTTACATTAGTTATTGACAATACTGTAGTTCATAGTTCATGTTAACTCACAGTGCATTAACTAATGTTATCAAGCTCAACTTTGGACTTTAATAATGCATTAGTAAATGTTAAACTATGAATATTATTAATATTATTTGTGTGTTGTCATTATTAGTTCATGTTAGTTACTATAGGAACATTAAAGTGTGGCCAAGTTCAAGTTGCTTTATTGGCATGACATTCAGTGCAGTATTGCCAAAGCACTTCAAATATGTAATATATTAAAAGCATCAAAAAATAAATAAAAAAATAAATAATAATACAGTAGATAAGAAATAATGACAAAAAACAGAATACATTTGATAAATATAACAATAATAATAATAATACAATTTTTAAATTATTTAAATAAGATACATGAATTTACATGAACCATTTCTTGTGGTGTGTAAGGTGTATACATATTTTACAGCTAGTCTAGATGTCAATTCATCCTCTCCGATTACATGGTAAAGTTCTTCTGAGTCATTTAATTAAAAAAATGAATTCAACCAACTCACTTGAGATTTAAGGGGTACTTCAGATCAATATATCTGACTTAATTTTCCAATAATGCATACAGAGTGCATTCGTTCCACAAAGGTTTTCATAAAATACAAATTTATTACAAAATATGCATATATTGAACGCAAAATTATTCGCCCCCCTCTTTTTTTAAATATTTCCCAAATTATGTTTAACAGAGCAAGGAAATGTTCACAGTATGTCAGATAATATTTTATCTTCTGGAGAAAGTCTTATTTGTTTTATTTCGACTAGAATATAGAATTAATTTTTTAACACCATTTTAAGGACAAAATTATTAGCCCCTTTAAGTGATAATCTACAGAACAAACCATCATTATACAAAAACTTGCCTAATTAAGCTAACCTGCCTAGTTAATCTAACTAACCTAGTTAAGCACTTTAAACTGTATAAAAGTGTCTTAAAAAAATATCTAGTCAAATATCATTTACTGTCATCATGACAAAGATAAAATAAATCAGTTATTAGAGATGAGTTATTAAAACTATTATGAGTAGAAATGTGTTAAAAAAATCTGCTCTCTGTTAAACAGAAAACTGTAAAAAAAAAATAAACTTGGCTAAATATTCTGACTTCAACTGTATATATATATATATATATATATATATATATATATATATATATATATACACACACACACACACACACACACACACACACATATATATATATATATATATATATATATATATATATATATATATAAATTAATACTTGGATTAAAATATATTCAGTCAAATATAGACATTATATATATATATATATATATATATATATATATATATATATATATATATATAGATATATAGATATATAGATATGTATGTATATATATATATGCAAACATATATTATAAATATAAACTTTTATTTTGGATGCAAAAGTTATAATAAGCTGAAAAATATCTAGTGCGTCCATATATTGGTTTTTCAAGAATTTGCAATAGTTATGAAGCCTCGGGAATTTAGAAATGTCTCACTGTATGTACAAATATCTGTAAATTAGCAGTTTTCTGTCTTTCATGTTTTTATTTTCACTTCTTTATTTCTGCTTTTGAATTGCATTAATGGATCTTGCTCTTTCCTCTTACAACTTTTAACCGTGAAAAGTTTGAAAAAGTGAATTTCATGAGCAAGTGTAATAGTTTGCAGTGATATTGTCTTGTCTGCGTTGGTGTTGTATACGCTACAAAAACCTTGTCATAAACAGCCAGTAGATTTTCTGTTACTCTGCAGACTTATTTCTCTATATTATTCATTCATTCATTTTCTTGTCGGCTTAGTCCCTTTATTAATCTGGGGTCGCCACAGCGGAATGAACCGCCAACTTTTCCAGCAAGTTTTTACACAGCGGATGCCCTTCCAGCCGCAACCCATCCCTGGGAAATCCCTATATTAGTTGTTATTATATTATTTCAAGCAACTAAAATGTCAACAAAAGTCACTTTGTTAAACTGTAGAGTTGAATTTTCAACATCAGAAGTCGACAGAGCAGAAATCAACATCCCATAATGCAATTCACAACCATAAATGAACAGAAAACATGTGAATTACAAAATACGGAAACTGTTCATTAACATACAGTGTATATTTCGAGTATATGTATACAGCCTATTCTTATATTAACCTGTAATATGTGTTGTGTTACATTGTCATATACCAGAAGAAAACTTTAAAGGAATGCCTGTATCTGAAGAGTGCATTGGCAAAAAGCTGTTTCCCCAATGCATTCTTCATTTGTTCCATGCATGCCTGAATAGGTCAGCAATTCGAAACTCTTTCCTACGGCCCTTAAAGCTTTTGGACAATGCTGAACAGGAGCTGATTGAGCGTGTATCAGCCGTTGAGTGTGTGAGAAAGAGCGCAGGGGCTCGGTGCTGTTGTTTGAGGCTCTGAAAGGCCTGATAAAAGCCTCAGTGTGCCGTCCGTCGGCTCTGGTTTCATCAAACAGCTGTCATCATGTGCGTGTGGGTCCTGCTTCTCCCAGCATTTCCCACACCCGTGCCTCTGGCTCTCGTTTCAGATCCCACATTAAGGAAGTGTGCCGTGCTAAATCATCCATTAGCTCACGGTGGTGTGAATCCTGACCCTTCCCTTTCTATTGCCCCTAATTCAGAGCTGAGCCCCCTGGGAAACAAAGACATTCACTTGTTGCTTGAGTCTACTTGTTGCAAACTTGATGCGTTGTTAGGGATTGTGGGAGTTTTTTTTAGGAGTTGTACATACTTTAGAGACTTTGGGCCCTATCATACACCTAGTGCAATAAGGCGCAAGATGTGTTTGGCGTGATTTGTTCCTATTTTTTGACTAGCCAACGTAATCTCACGGCAATTCGTAACTTTTTGAGTTAGTGGCTAATTCATATGAATTCGTACGAACTGGCTAATTATAATAAAATATGTACGTTTTCTTGTGAGATCATTCTGAACCAGCACAAGCCAAATTTCATGTTTTGTGGCAGGTTGTTTAAAGGGTCACAAATTTGAAACAAATTTTTGAAGCTGCATCATGCCGATTTGCATGCACGACCTTGCTAGATCCTACTATTTTTTATTTTTATGTTGTATTTAACATTTTAGTTGTATTTAATTTGTTTGATTATTTTGTTAATTATTTTGTTTAACATTTTAGTTGAGGTATTTTGTTGTGTAGTCTAGGAATTCCCATTAGTTTTATTTTTATAGTTGTTATTTTGGTTGAAGTTTCAGTAATTTTGTTGCATCATGTGTTATTTTTTGTTTAATTATTTGTTATATATATATATATATATATATATATATATATATATATATATATATATATATATATATATATATATATATATATACACACACAAATGTCTTTTTGAATGTTTTTTTCTTGTTTAAATATTTCCCAAATGATGTTCAACAGAGCAAGGAAATTTTCACAGTATGTCTGATAATATTTTTTCTTCTGGAGAAAGTCTTATTTGTTTTATTTTGGCTAGAATAAAAGCGGCTATTAATTTTTTAAACACCATTTTATGGACAAAATTATTAGCCCCTTTAAGCTATATATTTTTCAATAGTCTACAGAACAAACCATCGTTATACAATGACTTGCCTAATTACCCTAACCTGCCAAGTTCACCTAATTAACCTAGTTAAGCCTTTAAATGTCACTTTAAGCTGTATAGAAGTGTCTTAAAATATCTAGTCAAATATTATTTACTCTCATCATGATAAAGATAAAATAAATCAGTAATTAGAGATGAGTTATTAAAACTATTATGTTTAGAAATGAGCTGACGAAAAACTTCTCTCTGTTAAACAGAGGGGTGGGGGGTGGGGGATGAACAGGGGGCTAATAATTCTGACTTCAACTGTATATACATGGCTTGACATCAACTTTTTTGATCACCAGCCACTGTGGCTAGTAGTTTTCCAACATTACAAGCCACTCGTCATTTTCACTAGCCACACTTTTATTGTTACGAAAGTATATTTTATACATATAAATATGTATTTTGACATGCTAAAATTACTTGATTTAGATTTTGCGTTATCTCCACATGCCTCCTCATTCATAATCATAAGCAAATGGCTCATGGTTTCATAGTGCTAGAATTTTTTAGAATGATTTACCAAACATAAACAATTAATTATTTCTTAGCCATAAAATTTGTCAAAACAAGCAAAATATAGCTGTATACTATACTTTTTATTTAACAAAACATATGCACGTTAATCTGTCCTGGCATCGTTTTTGTTTACATCCCTCAAAATAATCTATATATGTATGTATTTTTATTTTATTTTAGGTCATTGAGACTAAAGAATATTTCTTTTATTATTAGTTTTTCAACAAGTCTGTGTTGTTTATGTTTTATCTATTTTATTGAACTACTAAAGTACGATCTTAAACAAGTCTAGTAGTATTTATCTAATAAAACATTACACATCAAATTATCAACATCATAAATCCATACACCATTCAATCCTACATTCACACGCAAAACTATTATCTGACTTTGATCAGAGCAGAAGCAAGTCCTGAGATTTGAGGATGAATATTTAATGAAGCATTTAAAGTGCTGACACACTTTTAACACCGCGTGCATGCGCTAAAGCTGATCTGCATTTTACGGTCAGATCGAGATGTCAGGCTGTGTGTAGTTACAGCAATGAAAGCCTTTGGTGTGTGAGGGTGTGAGGCCTGTAATTAGAGCATTAGATCTGCTTTCAGGAGCCGCGGGTCAAGCTGCTGATGTTATCAAGTGTTACCGACAGCTCTGATTGGCT